GACAGTTTGGCCGAGCGGTCTAAGGCGCCAGCTTCAGGCGCTGGTCCGAAAAGAGCGCGGGTTCGAATCCCGCAGCTGTTATTTTGTACATCTCCATCGTGTAAGCGATGTAATATTGACTCATGAAGTATCACCGCTTCCCTGGAGGTTGGAAAGCACTTAAGAAACTCACCGCAGCGTAATCGGGGATCGTGTGCAGGCAAGCACGTCAACTTTTGTACACGCGTGCAATTCTACCATGTCTCCTACATCAGACAGCTGATGCCATTCGGTGGTCTCACGGATCGGCTCCGCGACATGTCCGACACATGTGCTCCTTTCAGAGGTAAGATACCGGCACTTCACGAAGCTACCGAAGCTGTTGGTGAATCGGGAGAGCCAAAGGTGACGGTGAAGAAAGCAGAAGAAGGAAACGGGAAGCTTGAGGAGAGAGAGATCAGTATTTTTCAATTGGAGATGTCGCCACATGGTAAGGCTATGCAAGTGGGATGCCTGACCAGTATCATCATATTCATCACGACTCCTGCTTTAGGCAACTCGCCAAGGGTCGAGTAGGAAGTTTTTCCATGCCAGTCACAAGCTGTCTTACGACGCACCGGGGTTCATACTGCGAACACAAATGTCGCAGGATGGGTCGTCAAATGTCGCCATCGGCGATGAAAGCGGAGCTGTTGTTGCTGCTACTCATACTATGGTGAGCATCTGGATGCAGACTATACAGACTATTGGGCTGAAGGAGTGAGGGAGGTATACGACCACCCTGGGCAAGATATCTCTCCAGCCATTCATATCGGTGTCGAGCCACACTGTGAAAGGCCAAGATTCCGCCGATTTGTGATGATACTCATCCCTCCACTTCGCTCAGGGACAGATTTCGTGTGCAGTGGTTATGTGATGTTGACTACCACGACCGTAGTGTTGCAGAGTGCACAACTATGGAATCTCAACTTTGAGTTAGTTGATGATTTCATTAGTGTGATTGTAGATAGAATCTCTAGATTCCGTTAACCATCGCCTTGAGTTCTCTAATGGTAACAGGAACACACAGTAGGAAACATTAGGCGATACCCTCTGGGGCCTCTCTCTTCTCTACTCTTGACCTAAGCGAGTGCGTCCATCTTAGTGTTCATAACCTATCACACCACACGACAAAATGCCTCATCTTCTGTGTTCAAGTATTTCATATTCTTCTCCGACAGGTCAGTCTGCTTCATATCGACGGACCATCATCTGTCACCCTTCGGTGTCACCGTCCTCACCACGCATGTGAAAAGACCTGCTTATCATCAACAGGTCGTCCTTAGCTGCTCTGATGACAGTTCATTCGTCACGCGCTTGTTGCTAAGACAATGAAACGGCTAGTGATGGAGGGGCTGCAGCACGTGTTCTAAATCACCCTCCCGATCACAGATCTTGTTGGGCTCTACATGTGACTTTTCTCAAAGTCTTCTTTGACTAGTGTTGATGTCAACTCGGAACAGCTCCCTCTCTGGGAAACGATAGGAGCCTCTTTAGCAAAGCCTTCCACCCAGCAGCGCAGAGTGGTGGAGAGTATCGGGCGAGCGCTACTTCTGGGCGAGCGCGGTTGTCTCTGAGTAAGAAGGTTCTTGTTGTTGTTGCCTTTATTTTGGCGTACTGGATGAGATACAGAGGTCGAGAGGTAGGGAAGGCTGAGGTATGGTGGACTCTCGATCTGTTGAATAGGCATCATCATCACCGTCCCCGGAGCGCTCTTCTGATGAGGAGATGGGCGACCAAGAGGCTACCCTGGCAGTACCTGCCACCAGTGAGGTAATACAAGTGGTGATAGGATGGTGACACCACGAAAAGGGTCTTCAGACGAGCTCTAGTGAGGCGGAGTCGACGGAGCCTTCAAGGTATCAACAGACGAAGCGACGTCGTCGTGCTGAGCACCCGGTGGTGGTTAGCAGAGTGATGATGTACCAACCTATTCCTAGAGGACTGCCGATCACTAAAGATGATGTTGGAATGGTAGGCCGGCACTGATGCTCGGCTGTTGATATTCATCAGGCTGTTATACTCAGGTGATGGACATCCGTATCGCCGCTGGTGATTTATTAGCCCACAACCCTTTACTGAGGGCCCAACGCTTGTGGTGTTGTTGCAACTCCTCCAAGAGGTCTAGGCTCCTCTCTACTACCAAGGTGGTCAGTCACATTCCTTGCTATCACTACCCTTGTGATGTCGTTATTCCAGAAGCAACGAGCGACGTCGGGATCCACCTCTAGGGCTAAGGATAGGTATATTACAATAGCCGGACGAGATCTCGATACGGTAGCAACGGATAGGGCCTCAGAGGCGTCCTGGGATGGTGGACACGCTTCTAACGAGAGGATGTCGACATATTCATGAATTTCAAATCGTCCCTCGTCGTAACATTCATTGGTGCTGGCTAGAGTGGTCGCTAGGAGGAGTAGGAGGATGACTAGTCCTATAGGATACTTGCTCAGGCCCAGCTGACCTACACTGCCGATAGCGACTTGGTGTCAGCTGTAGTGCATGATGGCCGCTTCAGCCCTACGGACACTCCGACTGATCTCAACGGTCTCAAGGTCCTCATTGAAGTAGTAGGGGTAGTAGTGCATTTAGTTGGTTTTGGAAATGGAATGGTAATGATGAAATCGTAATAGCCTTGAAGGTAACGCCTTGTTGATTTCGAATCATTTTGGAAATTTACTGACGGGTTTCCCTGTTTGTCTCTCGTCAGGTGGAGATGCTGTCGCCAGTGACGCATTTCCTTAAGGTGGAGCGTAACGGTATCACTAGCAGATTCAGAACCAGAAGGTCTCAACGCCCGACTCTAGCTTTCACTGTAATTCTTATTTGCGTTTTCTTTTAGCAGTGGTCATTATGATTTCAGATCATATCAGTAGAGCCGTTGGTGGGCCCAAGCAGCCCCCTTGTGGACGAGGCTACTATACAGTTGTATTCAACAGCTGGTGAGAATCGGGTTGGTAGAAGTCTTGGAGTAAATGTGCGGTTAAGCTCGGGGTTTTCCTGAGTGTATTATATAGACTTAGACGCGAATCAGAGTTGGAAAATCCGGGAGAATTTTCTGCAATTTTTTCGGAATTTGCTCATCCCTATGGACACATGTATTTCACCACGTGCATATTCTCCTCCACTGGTTGAGGGTTTAGGTGTGAATGACGAGACGGGTATTGGTTCGTCCCTTGCGTCTTTGCGTTTCCTGCAACCCTATCGTGGACCCGAGCAGATCGACACGGCCTATCTGTGGCTAGAGTACTCCCCACTGTATGTGCTACCAGCGACGGACTCGGCTGGTGGGGGTTTGGCGGTGAGCTGATGGAGGGGGTGGTGCGGGTAGGAAGTGACGATGGTGTGGTAGGGCTATAGTCGACTGTATCGAGAGGATATGTATTTTTGCATGGACGACTTCTCGCAGTTTGTGCTGCGGATGGAAGATCCTGAACTGGAGGTGAGTTGATGGAGACATTATCGATCAACAGGGCGCGCGCTTTTTTCCTAAACACATTCTCATGATGTATTGGTTGGCAGGGAGATGATCCTCGGTTTAAGTGGGTGGAGTCAAGCTCTGAAGGCACGTCTGTCACTGGACTGAGCTGGAGTGAAATCGAATGGGGCTTTCGAAGTCTACGAGTCCGTGGACAGGTGAGTAGGAGGATAAGAGCAATACGGGTAGGTCCTTTCTGAGGGTTGCTCTTGGTCATGTTGTTGGTATTAGTTTGCCATACGAGACCATATGATAGGCCAGCTGGCGGCATCTGATATGAAGTGGTTCAATAAGGTAGCGGCCCAGCAGCCGTTGGCAAGGGGTGATGTGGAGGTAAGATGGTAGGGATGACGAAGGGGACAACTCTGTTGTGTCGCAGAGTGTGGACCTCGAGGGTGGGTGTGGATCGTCGGTGTCGTCATCGGAAGAGGATACGACTATGGTACCTTTTGGAGAGCGCATGGCTGATACTGATGCTTCGGAGGAAGAGGACTCGAATGTTATCCAAATAGGAGGTGCTGGGAATTGAACCCGGGTCTATTGTTGTTACTCAAACGTACACATATCTACTTAGTAGTATTATCATCATCCACGTCATATTATCGTCATATACCTCGCTGTATAGCGCTATAGTATCTCAATAGGGAGTTATAGTTGCCTTTGATTTTATGCCCCCTCGGCCGCATCGTGAAGTCGCGGTTGCTAATACGAATACAATATTCGGGTACATCGCGGAAGGGGAGTTGTATGGTGTGAAGCCCAAGTTCGCGATGTTCAAAGACACGCTGGTGAGGATGGCCCC